TCGATGATTTTAAATTTCGTATATTGTTCTTTTGCTATCTATGTTACTAAAAGTTAATTTACTTGCACCAATCATATTTCTTCATATGAAATATATGGTATTCAGGAAAAAAGTGCAAAGAAGGAAATGTGTACATAGTTTAGGGCGGGGCCACTTGCCAAGCTACGCACTACTGTAGCAAGTGCCGTTGCAGTCACAGCTAGTTGAAACTAGCAAGTTGTTGTTTGGGCGTTTTGGTGGAGCTCCCAATCGCTCCGGCTCTGTCACTGTACAGGCACTGTAGCGGAGCCTAGCGAAGCCTCCAATCACGGGCTCCTCCAGCTCCTGTCTGGTGAGCAGCTGAGCCGGAGCCCTTTTCCAGTGCAGCACAGGACGCACGCAGCGGAGCTAGAGCCGCCTGAAGCTGAACCAAACACGCTCTTTGTTTCCGTTTTTTTTTTCAAAGTTAAGAAAATGTTACGCCACATGCAACGTGACCGCTTGAGGTGGTGCTAATCAGCAGCTCCCGGATTTTATGCCACCATGTATGTTTGGTAGGCGCTTGGCACAAAGTATCGCTGCTAATGCAAGCAGTCGGCGCTAGGAGATTTCGTAGTTTAAGAAGTCACAGTTACAAAGATAGATAAGTAGATTACATGTAAGGTTTACTTTTCCCCATTGTAGATAGGCTCTTAGGTAATTGTTTGATTATTCTCTTTCCTTGAAAGTCCATTTAAGCGTTCATGGTTGTACATACTCTTAGTTGCAATGGCACGGAGGAAGATCATGGCAGTGGGGGATTGGGGCTTTGGAGGCCGCTCCATGGAGAGAACAAAGCAGGACCAGCCGGCCAGGTATGCGAAAATAGAAAGAAAATAGTGGTGTTTCCCCTTTTCCCCCTGTGCCTCATGCATGTATCATTGCTCTCGACAATGGCTATTCTTCGCAAATTTAGGGTAAGTTTGGTTCTTTGCTAGCTTTCCTCGCCCAGCAAGGTGAGCCCTGCTAGCAAGGGAAATCCTTGCTTGCACGGATAACAAGGCAGGTGAGGAAGGGATCCAAACACATCATTTGTTCTAATTTCTCGTCTAGTGAGGTGAGACAGCACTAGCTTGAGATCCTAACACGTCCTAGTTGGTTGGATACTTGAATTCGCACTAGCTTATCTAAAATATAGTAGGATGTGTGATACTCTCTTCGTTCCAAATTATAAGACGTTTTGGCTTTTTATAATATACTAAGATATACGCTATATCTAGATACATAGTAAAAGCGATGTATATAGAAAAGCCAAAACATCTTATAATTTGAAACAGAAGTTACGATCAATGAATATCTTTCTAGCTTTCTCGGTGTCGACTAAAAATGCTCGGCAGTCCAACGAGGGGATACCCACGATGGTAGATTGTTTAGTAGAGGTGTGTGTGATCACGACCCGGATGGTAACAGAGATACAAGACACAAGATTTATACAGGTTCAGGCTGTCAAAGATGACGTAAAACCCTACATCCTGTGCTATATTGGTTTGTATTGATCTGGATGACCAAGACCATGGCGACTAGGGGACTCTTGCCCCTCCTTATATACTCTGGAGGGGTAGAGTTACAAGAAAAATATCCTATTTGGTATTACAATATCTAATAAATCATATATTCTTGTAGCCTTGCGTTGCACGCCGACAGTGCCGTGCGCCGCACGTCTTGATCTTGTGGGCTGGACCACCTCTGATGGTGCGGCTCATGTCTTCTCTTGTGAGTACCGAGGGTCATATCCCCACACTCGGCCTATCTAACTCGCTTTGTCAGCTGCAACAACTTGATTTATTTATTTTCCTCTGTACCATTTTTTACTCAATTACGTCGTTACTCATTGTATTGGATATAGAAGAACTTATAATCCATCTAAAAAGAACAAATTTGATCCCGTTTTTATATATAACAATTAAAAAATGTGCAAATATTATTGTCGTCCAGATAACAAGTACTTTAAAACTTAATCGCTTTCACTCTTTCAAGGTTGTTTTTGTAAATTTGCGTAACACATATTCAAAACACATGTAAGTAATGAGTAGTAGTGCCATATCCTAAATGTGCCTGATAGAAAAAAAAAATGAAAATAAAAATATTAAATTTTACTGGACTTAGACACTTTATTTTTTTATAAGAAAAAAATGCTTAGAAATGCATCTAATCTACGAGTTCATAAGAGATAATTTATTATCTTAATAAATTTCTAATAAATTTCCGTGTTGTACAGGATACAATATGATTCTATGTTTCGCTTCGTCAGAAAAAAAAATAGGACGAAATGATTCGAACCTCCTAAACCTGCACGACTTCTCCTCAGATGCTCCTCAAGGACCACTTTTCACAGCTGCGTCCAGCAATTTTCAGGAAGACTATCAAGAATAGTGTAGGGTATCATCATATTTCAACTTGTAAAAATTCTATACAGTGCAACCACGCCTGGCAAAACTAATTTGACACGAGAAACTCAAAAGCAGTCCAATCCCATTTCCCAAGTAATGGTCGTTGGATCCAATGCAACAAAATCAACATTTAGGGGGGTGTTTGGTTGCCCCTCCTAAATTTTAGTCGTTGTCCCATCGAATGTTTGACACATGCATGAAATATTAAATATAGACTAATTACGAAACTAATTGCATAGTTTGCGAGTAATTTGCGAGACAAATCTTTTAAGCCTAATTAGTCTATGATTTGATAATGTTTTGCTATAGTAAATATGTGCTAATGACGGATTAATTAGGCTTAAAAATTTCGTCTCGTGGAGTACTGACGGATTATGTGATTTATTTTTTTATTAGTATCCGAATACCTCATGCAACATCCTCCCGATATAACTTCTAAATTTTAGTCACTGTATCCAAACACCCCCTTGCACCGAGCCGATAATAACCCACCTAATGGTCAAAACTCCAGAGTAGTACTCACAGCCTAACTATACCTAAGGCAAATTTTACTGCAGAACACCGTCAAAAAAAATATGCTGATGGACACCGCAACGAGCGGCATTTGCCCAATACCATTACAAATTTGAGGTTCTTTGCCGTAACACACCGCAACCAATATTTTATTCATTTCTTAGATTCACGGAGAGAGAAGACGGGAGAAATGACTTTGCTGCCTTCGTCTTCAACCTCCGGCTGTGCACCAAATTTTGCCGTAACACACTGCCAGTTATAGATGTCCATCAGGCCGGGCCGGCCCGTCACGACAAGGCACGGCACGGCAGAGCCCGGCGGCCGGCCCGTCACGACAAGGCACGGCACGGCAGAGCCCGTCATGTCGTCGGGCCGTGCCGCCCTAAGCCTTTGTGCCTGGCCGACGGCCCAGGCACGGCCCGCCAGGCCACATTCCGTGCCGGGCCAGCCCGGTGAGCACGGCCATTTTTTGCAGGTCGGGTTGGCCCAAGGCCGCTAAGAGAAAGGGGAAGGGAGACCGTCAGACCGGGAGTCGGGACTTGGGAGAAGGCGGAGGTGGCCGACGCTTGCGGTGTGGCTGCGCGGGGGTGTGGGGGAGGAGGAGGTGGCCGGCTGACCGGCATCCGCACTCAACGCCGCCACCGATCAAGGTGGGGCACCGCTGTTGCTCGAGGCCGGCCGTCGTGGTCGCGTGGAGGAGGGCGGCGTGGAGGTTGCCGCGCGGCGGTGCTGGGGCGTTGGGGAGGCGCCCGGCGGTGCTGGCCTGCTAGTGATAGGGGCCGTGCCGCCGCGTAGATGAGGCTTATGAGCGATTCGGGAAAGAGAGAGGAGTGGGAGGAGAGGGAAAGGCAGGGTCGGACTCGGGAGAGAGAGGAGTGTGCGCGGTGTGCGTGCGCGTGAACGCGTCGGGAGAAAGAGGGGCGGCGCGGGGGTGGGAACCGTGAGATCGTGAAAACAAGTTAGGGTTAGTTTGCACAGGAAGGAGGCTTGGGCTCTTAGCAGGCCAGGCCGCCCGGGTGGTCATCGGGCCGCTACCGGGCCAGCCTCTAAAATGTGGGCCATGCCGTGCCAGCCCGTGTGCCTAGGGCACGGCCCAGGCACGGCCCTGTGCATCGGGCCATACCGGCCCGGGCCCACACAATATCGGGCCGTGCCGTGCTTGGGCCGGGCAAAAAACCGTGCTTCGGACCGTGCCATCGAGCTGCGGGCTGCATGGACATATATACTGTCGGTTGCTTGTCTTCTCCGGCCCAGCGTGATGGTGGTGGACCTCGCCCCTCTCACGCACGATGGCGGCGACCAGCTGCTGCTGTCACCATGGGAGGGAGGTGGCGTCCTCTGGTGCTGCACGAGCGGGGGCTGGGCAGGGAGGTCTGGGGAGGCCGTGCCGCCGCAGCACGAGGCCCGGGAGGCTGCGGAGGCCGCGTCGTCGCTGCGCGAGGAGGCCGCGGACACCGCGCCGCCGCTGCGGGAGGAGCCCACGGATGTCGCGCCGCCGCCGCCCGATGCCGGGGAGGCCGCGCCGCCACCACGCGAGGTCGGGGAGGCCGTGCCGCCGCTGCGCGAGGTGGCCATGGAGGCCGCGCCACCGCTGCGCAAGGAGGCCACGGAGGCCGCGCCGCCGTCGCCCAATGTCGGGGAGGCCACACTGCCACCACGCGAGGCCGTGGAGGCCGCGCTGCCGCACGCACAAGGTTGGAGAGTCCCACACCATCGCTCGTGCGAGGCTAGAGTGGGTCGCGCCGCCGCTGACGCTGTTGGTCGGAGAAGGACGGCGAGATGAATCGGCGCAGTGTGTGACGCCAAATATTAGTGATGAACCGGAGGTTGAAGACAAGGGTAGATTGGACATTTCTCCCATCCTCTTTCTCCTTGAATATAAGAAATGAATAAAATATTGGCTACGGTGTGTTACAATAAAGAACCCCAAATTTATAATGAAGAACCCCAAATTTGTAATGGTAGTGGATAAATACCGCTCATTGCAGTGTCCATCAGCATATTAAGGTTTTTGATGGTGTCCTACAGCAAAATTTGCATGTACCTAACGGTTGCTATCCACGACTACAATGGTTTAGCTCATCTACTTTGAGCGCCCATTTGTTTCATCATATTCTGCAGCCCAACCAGGCCACCAAGCTGATTCAGCATCTGCGGAGGGATGGCATTGGCTATGGGCCTTATGTCGCGGTTCGTATTTAATGTCCTCCTGTTGTTGGTCGGCAGCGGCAATTTCTTCCACATTTTGGCAATTCGCTTGTACTCCTCCAGCATGTGCACCACTTCCTCCACGAGCCTGCCGGATCCCCGAGCGATCCGGTTGATTCGTGACTGGTTCATCAGCTTCGGGTTTGTCCCGTCAAGCTCTAAGTAGACAGTAAGAGACAAATGAGTTTCACAGTGCCTGTCCAGACTGTGGTTACCCAAGAGAAAGTGTTGCACAAGCTCACCTGCATCAGTCATGGAGTCCATCATCGTCATGTACCGCTTAATCTTTGCTTGACCTTCCTTCTCCTTTCCTTTTTCAATAAACTGAGCGCTAAATCCAGGTATCATAGAGACAACCTGCAAGAGAATTTTATATCTTCCTATGTTGTTGGATAATTTCATCGAATTTAATCACATTTATAGCAATGAAAAGATAGCTAACCTGTCCAAGAGGACCCATACTCTGGAGACTCTGGAACATCTCATACAGAAGCCTGAGTGTGAAGGTTCCTTCAACCAACTGAGGGGCAATATGCGGTTGCTGATTATTAGGTACAATAACTTCGTGGATCTTGTTCACCAAGCCAGACAAGTCACCCATACCTGACAAGTACAGTGACGTTAGGTAAACTGTAAATTGGAAAGAAGAATCGCATAGTTACAGAGTATATTGAACATATTTTGCTGACCCAACAAACGGCTAACAAATGGATTCACTTCGAAAACCTCAAAGTCTGGAATATGTTCTCCAGTTCCAATAAATATCACAGGGCTTTTTGTAGCTGCAACCCTGAAAACAAAGAAACAAAGATGTAAATAGAAGTTCTTCAGAATCTTCACCTATTTACTCGAAAACAAGAACCATTACTTCATTTTAAGAAGCAAACAAGGATTAATTTTTAAAGTGAGCACATATTGCACGCGTAATAGTTTGAACTTTGAAATGTTTGATACACACTAAACATTTGTTCTCAAAGAAAAATGCACATAAACAGAACTGAAAGTAACCTAAAAAACAGTTGCATTTCCTTTTGAATTTAATATGTCCCGTCTGATTTTACTTGTGTGGAATTTAATGGAGAGAGAGAGAGAGAGCTTTTAAGTGTGCAGCTCAGTCTAAACAATCACCATTTGCATGCAATATGACGTCTAAAATAGCATCATGTGGATTATGCAAGAGATAAAGGATACTTACGCACTAAGTGCACCCCCGCCTTTCGCATGACCATCCATTTTTGTAACAATCACAGCACCAACCGAGGCACTCTGTTTAAACGCTTGTGCCTGATCAAATGCAGCCTGACCAATACTACCATCCATAACGAATATCACCAGGTCTGGTTTCTGCATAGAACACACAAAAAAAAGGTTGGTTAAATTCTCATTAGCAGTGCAAGGCTAGATTGAATATGCCGGAGATTCAGAAAGTGGGAATACCGTAGCTTCTGAAACTTGGCGCATTTCTTCGAAGAGGGCAGCTTCCTGCTTGTGGCGTCCACTTGTATCAACAATAATGAGATCACACTTTTCTTTCCTGAACATGTCCACGCCCTCAACAGCAATTTTCACAGGATCTGATTCGGTGTAGCTGCAAGAGCAAATATTTCATCTATGTCAATTTTGGATGTAGGTTTCTAACCAAGAAAACTTTTAAATAAGCACCTTCCGTAGAATGGTATCTTGGCTTTTGTTGCATTCTGTTTCAACTGATCAAAAGCACCAGCTCGGAATGTATCAGCACAAACCAGTGCAGGATTAAATCCCTTACGCCGATGATAATCTGCATACTTGGTGCAGGTAGTTGTTTTCCCAGAACCTACAATAATGAAATGTTACTCAGTGAAATGAAAAATTCTATGCTTGATCTTAAGAAAAGAACATGAAAACAATGATCAGCAGAAAACATTAGTCTTGGAAATAGGAAAAGAAGAAGAAAGGAAATGTCATGTGACAATTCACAAGTCCAAACGAGTAAACAGAAAATAAAACAAGAGGGCCAATGGTCTCTAATAAAATGTCTATAACTAGTTGTACAAATGCCTGATCAAGTTTTGTAGCAAAATAAATAAATCAACATATTAAAAATCAAAGTGACAATTCCTGCCGGTATAACATAACAATAGTTATGAAGTTGACCATGAACTTGCTTCACAATAAAGACTGTAAGGCTACGAGAAGTTATTGTGGTTAACTCATATGAACAACAGGAGTATCAAATACTTCAGAAAAAAATTGACAAAGTGATCGAAATCACAGCCATTCATACTTTTCTAACCCCTTCATAAATTCTTTTGAACACGGTCCAAACCCTTTGAAATAACAGCCTCGAACATTTGAATCATACATCTAATCATCAGCAACTAAGACACCCAATAAATAGAAACATGAAAAAGGAAACAACTACATGACTAACATGAGCGCGTTGTTGCTTCTCAAACAAACACCCTGTGATATTCTATCCCAGGCGTTCGGAAATAAACACTGAACGCAGACAAGCATCTTCTACCGTATGTTACAAACTTTCAATACAAACATTGCTATACAAATACGAGCGCAATCAATGGCAACGAGCAATTCAACATTATATGTAAGATGTAACGAGCAATTTGGCAGATGAATGAACGATACTGACCCTGCAAACCGACGAACATGACCAAATTGGGCTTCCCTTTGCTAGGGGTGAAGGACGGCTTCCCGGGATCCAGCATCCTGCGTATCTCATCGACAACGGCCTGCAACCACGACACAGAGAAATCAGCCCTCCGTCCGCCGTCCGCTCCGTAGGTTACGAGTTCCGGCCTGCGACTCGCGAGGGGGCGGATCGAGGGAAGTTAGCTTTAGGTAGGTATATACGACGTGCGTGCGTACCTGCTGTATGATGCGGCGCTTGTTGGTGCCGGCGGCGAGCGCGTCGAGGTTGACGATGCGCTTGATGTTGGCCTTGACGTCGCGGACCGTCTCGAAGCGGACGTCAGCCTGCAGGAGCGCGCGACAGATCTCGTTGAGGCAGTCGGCGAGCACCTTCTCGTCCACCACGGTGGCGTTGCTCATCCGCGCCAGCGCGCGGGCGATGCTCCCGCCCAGCTCCGCGAGCACCATCTCGGCCGGTCGGTCGGACGCGCCGCGAGATGCCCCCTCTCCTCTTCGGCGGGAAGGACGGTGGACGGACGACGGGTCACCGAGAGTCCGAGACGAGACGAGACGAGACGAGGCGAGACGATTGATCACCGACGCGGAGGCGGAGGCGCGGCGACTCTTTTCGTGACTCGTGCGCGGCTGGCGGGCGCTGTGAGGATGCCAACGCAACGAGCGGGTTGGAGCCGTTGGATCAAGCGACCGGCGTTTCTGAACGGAAAGGATCGGGGTCCACCAACGCGAGAAGGCGGTTGCGTGGTTTGCGCCTTTGCAGGGTTATACGTACCCGGTACCTTGGCGTGGGGGACGGAGACTCGGAGAGACCTCCTGTACTGCTACGAGTCGACCAAATAAACCGACCAAGAAACGAGTCGGTTTCTGACTTTGGGTGTACGATAATGCTCTGTCGATGTCCGGATACCCAGCCGTTCGCTCGCTCCTGTCCATCCCTATCCAGTGGTGCTCGCCTGCTCGCCCATGAGGGGTTGCTCGCCGATGCTTGTCGAGCTCGTCAGGCTGTTCGCGGCCTCGCGTAGGCGCTCATTCAGATCCGGTGCTCGCCTGGGTCCGTTCGACTGGCAGAATCGACAGAAACTGGTTGGTTGTGTGAGAAAAATACTATTTTGATTGGATGGATGAATAGTATCGTCGTGAGAGGAACCAGCCGACTGGCTGGTCTCCTCCAGACCAGCGAACACCGCCCTGGGTGCTCGCGGCCTCGCCAGGTGCTTGCCTAGGCCGCTCTGCTCACCCCCAGTGGCGGCGAGCTCCGTGCCACCGCCCACCTCTGCACCGGCATCGAGCTCCGCAACGACGAGGCCTCTATTCATCCAAGCAGCCAGGTGACAATGCGCTGAAAGAGCACGTTGCAACCAAATGTTTTAAATGCTTTAGATCTGTGTTGCAAGTGTTTCACATCGATGTTGCAAAAATAGATCGGGATATTGCATACGTTGCAACGGTTATACACGTACGTTGCAAGCGTGTGTTCTAAATGTTTCATCTGTTTTTCAGAAGCATGTTGCGCGTGTGTTTATTTTGGGTGTTGCTATCTGGACATTGCATATGTTTTCAATGGCTTTTCAAGTGTTTTTTTGATGTTTTATAAATATTTTAGACACATGTTCTAAGTGTTTCATTTGTCTTCAGATGTATGTTGTAAATGTTTCATTTAGATATTTTAAAAATAGATCGGTTTGTTGCATATGTTATAATGACAAACAGCATGCTGCATGACTTTGCTCTTGCCTCGCGCCTTCCTCTCACGGCGCGCCTCTCTCTCTCCTGGACTCTCCTCTTCCCCTCCCTTCCCTTCCCTTACCTCACCATGGCTCGGTGGGGAACGCTACCCGACGAGGTGACGAGCGCCCGCGGAGGTGGTGGCCCGGGTGGGTGACGGCTGCGCGATGGCCGCGTGGTGACCTCGGATCCGTCCACTGGCTACGCACAGAAAGCAAAACAGTCGCAGGCGTCCGGACGTGTGTACCATGTAGCCTGGGTTCCCGAATCCCTGGCGCTTGGTAGCCGAGTCCGTCTGATGATGCGAACCGAATGCCACCTATCTTAGGCCCCGTTTGGTTCCTCGGAACAAGAGGCCACAAAATCTTCCGCGCTAGTACAAATAATAAGTGAAGGAGCTGTTCGGCTGGAAATTATTCCCATGCAACAGAACGGTAGGATTTTCTGGATGCCGATGAGTTCTCCAACGACGAACGAAACAAGAAATAACCCCAAAGAAAAACAGAATTTCACTTTTATTTATGCACGTAGTCTTCCACTGGATCAGAATTCCAGGAGTCGTGCCAGGTGCCAGCAGACAGTGCCACAACCATGAACCGCTCAAACATGTGTAACTAGCTAGGCCGCAGCGGCCTCTAACTTGTCTCCACGGACCCGGCGGGCCGGCACGGAGGCCAGACCCCGAGGACCGGCGTCCCCACGCCTGCGGGTTGCCCGCTCGTACGCCTCGCGGCACCGGCGCTCGCAGCCGGGCTTTGGCGGGCCGGCGCGGCACTCGTGCAGGCAGCGGTCGCGCTCCCGCTCGGCGCCCTCTTCCCGCTGCTCCTCCCGGCGCTTGGCGCGGCCGTACTCGTCGCACTGGCGCAGGCAGTGCCGCCGCTCGGCCGCGCCGAACTGCCGCTGCCGCGCGCACTGCTGCCTGCACGCCGTCACCTCGGGGTCCACGGCCTCCTCGCGCTGCTGCTCCTCCGGTTCCGCTGCGCGTGCGGACATGACGAGCAGGAGGAGGAGCATGGGCAAGGCCAGGGGCACGGCCTGCGCCGTCCTGGATGGCATGCTTGACTGGTCTGGTCTGGTATACGGCCGGTGTGTGCGCGTGTGCACGTAGGCGCGAGGCGAGGGTCCTAAACACCTGAGCACGACTGCAGCTGGGTCGAGGTGAGCGACGGGCCCTTGAGGAAATGCAGCGTCTCAGCATTTGCATGGAACGCACGTGTCCGCCCGCTTGGTACGTGCAGGATGTCTGCATGTGTCGTGGCATCCAGCATCCAGCAAGTTGCAAATAATGGATAACTGAGTCCATGTACGTACAACATATAAAAATAATAAAAATGGCACCCTGCCTGCCTCGTTTGTTCACTACAATCCTTCGGCGATGGGCCGTCCAGAAACTAGAAGGACGGATCCTTCCAAAAATAAAAATTTGCAAGTTGCAGGCAGCTGAAAGCCTGAAGGAGATCGACCACCTGTACTAAAATTCATGGCCCATCCTAGAACTCGGTCGATTGCACGCATCATCTTTTGGCCTCCCACTGTTTGGATGTGCGGTACTGACGACAGGTACACTGGCTAGTGTTCATCCCAGATCTTCAGGACCATTTCGGAAACTTGTCCAGCGTCCGACACACGGTACACACGGGATCGTCGTCCGATCGTGCCGTGCGCGCAGGCCGCGTATCTTGGCGTGCCGGGGCGGATCGACGCTCGACCATCCCAATATCCCATCCCTGTGCGCGGCGAGAACGAAAGGCCTTCACGTGGAGGCGCCAAGTGAGCTAACACCAAGGCATGCAGCAGCAGCAGCAGCGGCAGGCGCTGGCCGAGAGTGACCACCGAGCTGTCGGAACGCGCCAAACGCCAGGGCGCGGCCACGCATGCCTGCCCCGGCCGGCCCGTGACCCCGCCGCGGCGCGCGCGGGCACATGGCCTGCGCGGCCCCCGGCCCGGGCGAGAGATAAACCCGGCCGGCCGGCCGGTCAGCTCTACATACCACGCTTGACGCGTACGTCTCCGCCGCGCAGAGGGCGCTGTCTCAGCCTCTAAGGTGCCCGCCGCGCGGCCCGTGACCTTGCGTCGACGTCCCCGGAAGAAACGCGCGGAGCGCACGCAGCAGGTTTGGCGCGGCTCGCACGCGCGGCGCGGGGCTGGCCTTGGAGGCAGACCTGGGCGACAGGGCGAGGCGTCTGTTCACGGCACATGCACGTACGCCAGCGGCCAGCGCGCCGTGATCCCGGGCTCTTCGTATACGGTGCGGTGTCCTGTCGTCACTCGTCAGTCGTCGCCCACCCCGGTGTGCACAGAAGAGTGTTAGCAGGTGGACAAGAACGAGACCGGACAGTGTGTCACTGTGCCGTTGAGAATGCGAAAACAAGACGGCAACTATTCGTGCGCATCTACTCCTCCCTGGTAAGGGTAACGACGACATGCATGGCTTCCATTGCCATTTTTACTGGTGTTTCGGGCAGGCAGAGAAAACGCTTACTATACCACCTTGCTTGGAATTTGCCAAGCTGATGACCGACGATCTGCTTCGGTAACATGCTAGTAGCTACAACAATTCGTTGTCACTTTGCTCGCGTAGCAGACTAGCAGTAGCGTTTGGGACCTCTTTGCATTGTCTTGTCCTCTCGGTGAGACCTCCCGGGTGCAGTTTGCCAATTTCCATTCGATGGACAGGGAGACATTGACGTGATAGACATAGTGGATCACCAACACATAGATCTAGCGGTACAATCTTATATACAGGATAAAACTTCCTAGAACATGATCTAGAAAGAGAGAGAGGAAGGGAGATGAGATGTCACCGACCATCCGCGGGTTTAGAGGAAGAGCTCGACGTAACCATGACGAAAGTGATGCGGTCCGGGTCGGCGGTGTCGCAGTGACGGTGTTGAGGTCAGTCGCAGTACAGTGGTGGCGCAGAGACGGCGGTGAAGACAGCAGTGGAGCTTCTCGTCGCTGGCTGCGCCCCTCAATAAATCGGATTGGGTTTGTCGGTGGGTGTGGCGGCTCACGATGAACCTCGTACTGAGAGCCAACAGCCTTCACCTCTCTTTATAGCGCAGTGCGACGAGGCCCACCAACCATGTAGGGTTGGACGCCCCCGATCAGGGCGTGAGGTCAAGGCCCAACTCGGCCGTTGGGCCGAGCTGAAGAGATCAACACTAACATGACGAGGCCTGGGAACATGGCGAAGAGCGACCGTCGACCGAAATCTACGGCGGCACGGCCAGTGATGGCGATGCCGCCATGGCTACTGGCTAGGGTCTCGATCGGCAACGTCCAAGCCTATAGGCATGGGCAGGGAAGAGAAGTGCAGGCTTTGCGTTCCCGCCTTCCCGGTGAGTGACGGAAACCGGAGGAAGCGAAAACCTTAGAAAAACCAAATGTTTTTTTCTTGTTCATTAACCTTGCTCAGAGCAATTCTCTCACCCCAAGCACTCCTTCAATTCAAGCATCTCATGATCCAAGCATTCAGCAAAACAACCCCAGCACAAAGCCTCTCATCTGAACATAATACACGAGTAGCTAGACTGCCCAGTGCCAGCAAAGCGCAAACCATTGATAGAGGTAACGTGAGCAAAGTTAAAAGTTCAGTAATTAAGGCCAGCATACCAAGCATATGAAACCCAATTTCAGGTATAAAACCATAAACGACCTGTTATTGCTTCCAAGAAAAATCTATGGAGTTACTTCATAAACGGAACTCTTAGTCTTAGGTACGGTTGAAAAACTAGGAGAAGTGCAAGCAGAAACGCAGTGAACCAAGTTTTACTGCATCTTCAAATCAAGAGTACAGGCTTCTGCTGATACTTGTACCTTCATAACAGTTACAGCCATGTGAACCGCGGCAGCCATCAACGCAGATCATAGGCCTTCACCAGCTAGTGCACTGCTCAAGATACAATGGGCCTGGGCAAATCACGAAATTTCAATCATCGATCAGAGCTAAGCAATACAATCCAGAGGAAAAGACAAGCTGTCCAATTTTTCCATACGAGTAGCAACCTAGTCCAGAGGGGTGAGGCCCCAATTATTCCCCTGCTGGTATGTATTGTCTCCCTCTACCTTGCTTGCTATCGCTTTCCAGCTCTATTTCTATGCTTCTGCTGGTTCACACACCTTGCTTTCATGAGCACTGAAGATGGACATTGAATCGGTGAGGTGTGCTTGCTGTAGCCTCAAAGAGGACTGCACCCAGGAATACATAGACAATGTCAAGGGCAACTTTGGAGGGAAATGGCTCTGTGGCTTATGCTCAGAGGCTGTAAGGGATGAACTCAGTAAACACAGGAGCAGCCAGGATGGAATTGAAGAGGCTATCAAGGCTCATATGGAATTCTGCAGGATGCCGCTGTCAAGCCCAGCTGTCCGGGTAGCTGATGGCATGAAGGAGATGCTTAGGAGGAGGTCAGGGGAAAAGAGGAGGCCAGCAACACCATCAAAGGCACACCAAGAATAGCAAGGTAGGTAACAAACTTCGCAGTTGAGGACTGTCAGCAGAGACACTTTTAGTCGCCTTAAGGTCAGTGCATTGATGTTAGAGCCTCTCAATCTACTTAATGTTTGTCCTATAAGTATATTTTTTTATACATATTACAGGCAGCATGTCAAGTGTAAATATGAGCAATATTATTAATCTGAGGTTTCATGATCACAACATGAATCAAGTGTCGTCCACAGGAGATACATCTAGCTTATTTTCTGTTTTTATTTTCTTATTTTCTGCATTTGTTTCCCTTCAAATCTAGAAAATAAAATTGGTGATTTGTTTCTTTTACTCAATTTATTTATTCTGATAATTTGTTGTCAGGAGTCAATTCTTACTATTCAGTTCTAATGGTGTGAAGAGTGAACAGTAGTTTTACTTGATTAATCATAAGGTATTTGATGATAGTACTGGAAACAAAGGGTACTTCTTTTTTTACTAAAAGAAAGCCAACATGAGGATCAAGGAGGCCTGGATAATGACAGGTGTGCATCACATGGAAAAGACAGTAGCACTAAATTACACAGAGAGATGTTTCATTGAGGGCTCAAATATTCTGCAGATATGTAAATTTGGCACTATAAGCTAGAGTTCAAATGAATGAAAATCCAGCCAGAGAGGTAAGCAAGCATCACTCTTATACTAGTGGTGTTGAGACTAAGAAGAACAAACATATTCGAACTTGCCTCAAGCTAGAAGCATACCCCTGACATCCTTAACTATAGCTAGAACAGTCCTCCTCCTGCAACCAAAGGTTATCGTTGTTATCATTTGCATGATTGAAAACTTGGACTCAGAAAAGGTAGCATATCGATGGTCATTCGCATTTGTCAAGTGTATATTTAAGTACTAATGGCTTTCCACATTTCAAATGTTTGGAGCTTCTCATGCTGTTAACTGTATTACCAAGTTATGAATTTAGGTGGACACTAAAATGATAATTATAATTCCATACATACCATTCGAAAAGGTCAGATTTGATAGATCAAACAGCTTTTATTTGTTTGTTTAAGAAAGCAAACACATGTTTGGTTGCTCGTGTGTACTTTCTTACGATATCAAAATCTTAATATAATCAGTGAACTTACTTAGCTCATCTAATGATATGTTAGCAGCACTGTCCCCAGATTTAACCAATCGAATCTTGCCTGCACATAGAATAGATGTCCAAACATTAGGCTTTTGTTCAATGTAGACACATGAAAATAAAAGGTAGATGTAAACTACCATACAAGGACATCCTATTTCAACTGAAAAAAACACACATAGCTGTGTGATTGTTAGCACATAAAAAATGGTCATTGCCATTGAGTTACCTATGAAAACTACTTATGTAGAATACAGTCTCACTAATCAACATACTAGGAAAGAAGCTTGCGTGAATCAGCATACCATCACGTCGAACACAGATCTCAGGTATGTTTTTGACTTGATCATTAACACTGTCATTGTAGACCCTGGTTTCAATATCACCCTCAACATAGACTGCAGAACTGACATAAGGTAAAAGAAAAAAAAATATAAAACAGCATCCATGGCGAAAAAGACAGATATAGTTGTATTAAGGTAAAAAGAGGATCTTTTGATTTAAACCACATACTTTTTCACCAGCTTCTGAACAGCATAAGCACCTAGTTGGTCATTATGAACAGCTATGCGATGCCACTGAGCTGGCTTCGGCAAATCATTAGGCCCAATTACCCTCTGGTCAAACATGCCACCAGTTCCAACGGTAAAAACAGTTACTGTATGCCCATTCCTTAAAATTTTTTGCACAGGCACTTGTCCAACTTTGCCACAGATGATGGCCTAGCAAAAGCAGAACAGATTATAAATGTAAAGTAGGGCTCCTCAAAAACAAAACAAAAAAGGAAGAATTTCATATAGAAGATATAGGATATCCAATTTTTTTATGTCCATACCCTGTGCACGCCACGGAATTCCCAGCCCTTTTTGGGATCTACGCTTTGGGGCCGTAACTCTCTCTTTGAATCTGGACGATTATCATCATATTCCATATCACCCTTCTCATCAAGGTCAGAAAAAGAAACAGTAGAACTCCAAACTCGTGATTGTCTGCAGAAAACTGCAAAGAGAAAGGTTGAATATATCTTGCACCTCAGTGTAAATGTATATATCATATAAAATGATTGATCAGTGATCACAGTTTCCATGTTCCTATGTTAGGTGAAACCTGTGAGTAACACTGAACCAAATACCTACCAGTTGAAATCCTTTGCTGTTCCATGACCCTCCTCAAGCCCTTCAGCAATCCACTGCTGACACGAGTCATGGTGAATCTACATGAACAGAGAAAATGAAGTAAGAAGATATAACCACAAACACAATAAATAATGGGATTTTCTTGTTTCGTCCTTAAACTTAAAGAAAACATCAGAGCAATTTTGTTCAAGCTAACAGTCTACCATTTAAAACTTTTTATGACTTTAATGTTAACACTTAACAGTAAAAAAACAACATGATGAAAATGATACGTCAGGAAAAAACTGACCATGGATAGCGTGATCAGAATGGTGAGAAATTATTTCACAGGAGAAGGTTCAGAATAACTAACTCATAATTATATGCATCTGAGGAACACTTTGTATGTAAACTGCAGATAGCGGAAGGCAAAATAATAAATGTCGAATGCGGTCTGCCTACTTTGATAAAACTAGAGCGAACCGTTTGTATTCTCAGATAGCAAATCTTTTCATTAAACAGCTATCAAAACGTGAAGTAATTATTAGGAGGTATATAACCAATAATGGGGGACAGTACAGATACAAGACAAAAGTTGACAATTTGAGTAGAGATGACCCAGTCACTTCTTTTTCACTCGTTAATGTAGCGCAACATGAGAATTGTCTATTAAACATGCGGTACCAGTGTTGGACTGGATAGCATAAGTATTGCAAGACTAAATTGTTTCTGCTCTGGCTAAATAATATGCCTAGCACACTACTGTCCATTGACCTTCCATTATTTCCTCCACCTTTCTAGAGGCAATCCTTTTAAACTAAGGTAACACATACAGAGGTTTAAGTCTCAGCAGAGTACAGTATTGCTCCATAACAAATAGCATGGGCATGTTATATCAGACTCATCCTGCATCCATTTCCACATGTTATCTCTTGTCCGTACTCGCCCGTAATCCACGTCAAGTTGTACATTTGCATTAAGGCAATCCGGACACTCGAAATGACCAGCATTATGATTGGACCATGATAATTTCCACATCACACTGCAAGAGCTTAGGCAGCATGCTGAGACTGAAGTTTGCACAGAGGGATCATGGCAAAGATCAAAGGACAAGGATAAGCCACTGAGGCATCAAGGCAAAGATCAAAGGACAAGGTTAAGCCACTTAAGGCATATGAACGAACACCTCCGGTGCATGGTGCATAGAAGTTGCCTGCTGCGCCGTAAGATGGGAGACAAGAACCGTGCAAGCAAATTCATCAATCGGAGAACCCCATCTCCGATTACATACAGAAACTCCAGCATTTGCGCGGCGGAAGTCTTCCCAGCAAACCAGAGGTGGTAAAAGTTTTAGATGGGGATTGCAGTTCATACCGAGATGGAGAATGCACGGTTGTCGAGGGGCCGTCGGAGATGGGTTTTGGAGTGGCGGCGCCCGGCGCGGCGGGCAGAGTCGCCTCTCCTCGCAGATGGGAGAGGGAGACGGCGAGCGGGAACGGCGGCGCTGATGGGAGAGGGAGGGGCTCTCGGGTATGTTTGTTTTTCTTATAAGGAGCTGAGCTGGGTCACGTTTGGTCAAAAAAAAAAAAACGTTCCGTCACCCGCTCGTAAACCAAGCCACCAAGGGGCCAAACGCCAAAGGCATCCGCTCTCACGCGTAGGCGGCGGCCGGAGGGGCACCCCGCAGACGGCGGCGCAGTACGGCACAACCTTACCCAGGCGTCGGAGCGCCCTTCCCCGTCACCGCATCCCGTAAGCGGTGAGCCTGACGACAGGGAGCCTCCGCAGCGGCGATAACCCAATTCCACCCCACTGCCTCCTCCTACCTGCCCCCACTACCGCTCTGTTCCCGCCGCCGTCGGCATTCGCCCCACGCGCTCGTTCGCTGCGCTGTCGCGCACGTCAACGGCCGCACCCTCCAGTCGTTCGACGACGAAACGGCACCGTGCCTGGCTGCCACTGACGCGTCCACTGCACGCGAAGTCGCGCTTCCATCATCCTCCGCCGCCCCGCAGTTCACTTCAGAGCCGGAGGGAGGCCACCGATCCATCCATGACCGTCGCGAAGCGGTACGTGCTGCGCCTCTTCGTCTCGCTCAAGTACGTGACGGCGAACGTGGTGGACCGGCAGTGCGGCCGCATCGTGACGACCGCCTCGACCGCGGAGCGGCCCCTGCGAGACGGGCTGGAGCGCGGCCGCGCCTGCAACGCCAAGGCGGCGGCGGCCGTCGGCGAGGTGCTCGCCATGCGCCTCAAGGTGGACGGCCTCACGCAGGAGCCCATATACCCCAACGCGGAGAAAGAGGTCGCGAAGAAAGGGTTCGAGAACCAAACCAAGGTCTGGGCCATCCTCAACGCGCTGCGCAGTCACGGGGTCAACCTCCGCATCGATGACGATGGCGACCACAGACCGCACTTCTGAAACAACCATCAGTTCACTGTTCACCAGTTTGTTCCTCGAAGTCATAGGTGGCGTTGGGATAGGGATAGGCATAGGGACAGGGATAGCTAGGTATGGGATAGCGATGTATAGAAGTAGGGACTCGTTTAGATTGTAAATTTCTGCAACATGGACACTGTAGCATATTTCATTTGTATTTGATAAATTTTATCCGATCATGGATTAACTAGGCTTAAAAGATTCATCTCGTGATTTACAACCAAACTGTGTAATTAGTTATTTTTTTACCTATATTTAATACTCCATGCATGCGTCCAAAAATTGATGTGATGAAGAGAGAGTGAAAAAACTTGGAATTTGGAGGTGATCTA